GGAATGTTGTGGGAGACAGTATCCAAAGTCCCGTCAAAGTGACAGCTGTATCATTTCTGTTGTATTTCCTACAGGTGCAAGGTAGTTTTCCTTCTAGCCATCCTAAAAAATGGGCTCTGCTTTTCCTTCTTCAGTCCAGTGGCTATTCACTGAAAATAGAAGTATTGACATAAGCAGGTTTTGCTAGAATGAACAAAATGTAAGTGTTCGTTCAAAGGGGCACGTCTTTATTTGCTTAAAATTTTAGGAACAGGCCAATTTGTTCAGTAAATAAAATTCGCTTGTGACCTTCTGTACAACCTCTCCCTGCCCTCCAAACTGGTGGTGCTGCAAAATATAGATCTCTCCTGCAATTAAATACTTTGAGGTTTCTGAGAAGATAACACTGCTTGTTTCCTACCAAACTGGAAGGAAGTTACATCTTTAATGTATGTGTCTGGATTACAGGATGTAACCAGGCAAGTAATTACAAATTCCTGTTTCAGAGGCATCTTGGAAGGGCTCTGGATAAAGATTTTGTTTCCAGCAGCTACCAGAATTGCATTTCTCCTGTTGTTTTGTTTTTGAATTTTAGTTTGCAGAAGTAGCTGGTTGGTGTTTCTGTCAGGTAGCTATGTAAGGAGTTTTATGTATATTATGCAGCTTTAAATCAAATGTATAGCCCTGTTATGTGAACCCATTGTATTCTGCAGTACACACTGAGCCATAAAATATCAACAGTAATATTTTATTCAGTAATGTGGGATGTGATTGTGGCTTCTTTCCACATGTGAGTAGGTTGTTCTTTTTTTTTAGCTTAGTGGAAACAGTAAATGACATGGTGGAAAACAATCCACTGGAAACATGCAAAGTCTGTTCATGGTGACAAGCTGTGTCATTTCCTACCTCAGCACAGATAGACTGACTTGGTCATCTTATTTCCTTCTATCTTTTTTTTTAAACACCACTTCAGACCCTTGTGGTAAGAAATTCATAGCTGGTTATTAACCTCACATCTTCATGGGTTCAAAGACATGTAAAACATTTTCATTTGCAGTATGTTAAAGGCATTAGACTCTTGTATCTCTCTCCTGGTAAAAGTCCTTAGCCTGGAAGCCTTGACTTGGTACTGCAGCAGCACAGCATTGTGGAGTTGCTGTTACAAAGCACAGGAAGATCTGTTTCACTGGGCAGTCCTGATTTCTACACAGCTTGTTTGGAAGTAAAATTAGAGGTTGTTTAAGGTTTTTGCTCTGTTGGTGAAGCACACTGGTATATCTGTTGCAACAGTTCCTTAGACTAAAGGTATTTTTCAGAACTATGGTCAACTTGAATGCAATAAAAATGATCAAAAGTTTGTGATAAAAGACTGAGAGGACTGGGTTTGTTCAGCTTGAAGAGGCTGAAGGGAGGTATGATAACAGTCTTCAAATACAAGAAAGGTCACGGCAAATAGGAAGGGGTGAAGCCTTTGCTTGTATCATACTTCTTGGCTTTTGAACCCAGCCCAGCAAGATTACCAGATCTAAGGTTTGTGTAATAACAGTACAGGTCATGAAGCTGTGAAGTCGTTGGTACTGTTATCAGTCCCTAAGTCTGCAGAGCAGTTGTTTTTTTGCTGGCTGAAACTGAAATCTCCTCTGCAGGCCATTGCTTCTAAGTGAGTGGCTGCAGGAACCGGTAGGTGCTACCTGGTAGGTCTCTGAAGGCAGGTTCTGCTCTTACCCTCTATTTATCTTTTCCTCTCATCACTCTCCTCTCTCACTTTGTTTTTGGAAACAGCTAGCATTAGTTGCAGCTGAGGCTTTTAATTTCATGGTCAGTTGTCCACTAGAATTTGGGCTGGGCTGTTTTGTCACAAAAATGGGCTAACTTTCAGTGAAAACTGAGAGGAGAAAGCAGTGTAGGAAACTACTGTGTCAGTGCCCGTGAGGAATAGGTGTGGATGCAGTTGACAGTTACCAGCTTGTACTAGAACTCAGTTGATGTGTTTCTGCATGGAGAGATTGCAAAACTGCCCGTGTTTTAAACAGCTGATGGGTAGTAATCTTTTCTTTATTGCTAAAATAAAGAGTGACACAACAGAGGGGGACTGATAACCTCTGCTCTCGCGCACAGATGGGGAAAATCTCCCTGTTGAAAGGTGCACACTCATATTTATTTTTCCCCAGGTTCCAGGAGGCAGAGGTGCTGCCTCTCCTAAAGCCTTTTGGTCCTCATTCACTGTGCCCTGGCAGTTCTTATTCTCGTGAAGAATTCTGAGAGAGCAGGCTAACTGTAGAGTCCCATAGGACTCACACACTGGCTCCCTGTTTGCTGTTGTATCTCTTCACTAACCCCGATGGCTCCCAGGGCTCAGCAGCAGCAGTGTGTTTGGAGCTAACAGAATGGATATATATATATATATTTAAACTCAAATATTTTGAAAAAGATGTTTAGGGCCCTGAGAGAGTTTGAGCAAATTTTGCTCTTCCTCCCAGCGTTCTTTTCCACAGTGACCCCTCTCTGAAACTGGCGCTCACCGTCAGCTTGCTCCCATATTTCCCTCAGTTGGGCTGCGGATTAATCAGTCATTTGGTAGGTGTCTGGAAGTATGCTCTTTCAGATCAGCAGGGTTTAGGACAGGAGAAACATACCATTATTAGATATAATTACAGAAACAAGCAGCCTGCTGGTTTTTAAAACCCCAGATCATTTCCTTACAGTGGAAGAGTAAGTTGCACTTATGTTGTAAATATGATTGGCCATTTTTGATGTTCAGACATCTGTTGTAGAGTCAGGTATGGCTTCACAGTCAGCTTAAGACCACATTGCTGTTGAAAATAGTGGTCATGCCATGAAGATGTATGGATGAGCCTTACTTTGGATCATCCACTTGTTACAATTGAGCCCCTGGCTGCACAAGTACTATTGCTGATGTGAAGGCAGAGCAGGGAGGGCAGGGCTGTGTGGGGCACATAGAGCACGGCACAGCATCATGGCTGGCTATGAAGCCTCAGACTCACAGCCTGGTTTGGGTCAAGCAGCAGGCTCTGTACCAGCGCTGAGTGCTTTGTCCACTTATCTGCCCTGCAATGGCAGTGCTGTTTGTCCTGTTTGCCCAACACACAGAGAACTGTTTCTTTCCTAAGATCATGAAAAATTGTCCCTCTCATAATTTCAAATTCTCATTGCCTAGGCTAGATCAACGAGTGCCTTTTCTGTCTTTCTTCTCTTTGCTTTTGGACTGACTTCTCTATCAGCCATGAAGCATTGCATCCACTTTGCCCTTGCTAATTCTTGGTGCTTTGACATGCCAGGTTGATAGAAGAGCTCTCCTGAGTGGTCTTCTCTATCAGCATATTAGGAAATTTTTCCCTTCTTTCTAGATTTTAAAGAGATTGTAACAAAAAAAAAAAAAAAAAAAAGAAAAAAAAAAAAAGAAATAAAAAATGGTGCGTCATCCTCTTTGGCTTCCTGCAAATTCTGTCTCCTTGAGGAAGCTGTTATAGCTGACTTGACTGGGTTAGCTGATCATCTTTGCTGACAGGAATCAAATTAATTACAAGTGACCCTGAGAGATAAGGTTCCATAGGTGTCTGCTGTCAGAGTGGAAGATCACATTAAGAAATCATCAAATTAAGTGGAGTAAACATGAGAGGTGGTTTATTTATTTGTAGGTTGCTACTTTGATCCATTGTGTTCTCGTTGCGTACACAGTTACAGCAAAACAGTGGCTGAATGGCTATTGCTACAAAGAACAGCTTTAGGGCTCACAGGATTTTAATTCAGTGGCCATGTAAACTGGCTAAGCCAGACTCCAATGAAGCCACCCCTGTGGTTTCCTGTCCCTAGGCACTGGCATGTGTCCTCATGTTTGTACATGCAATAAGGGGGGGATACATCCCTCAAGAACTAACTTGAGCAAAACAAAGGCAAAATCTGTTTTTCAGCTGGGCAAATTCCCCATTCCTGTCCGTTGTAATGCTGTGAAAAAACATCTTTCTATGCCAAAAGGAAATGGAGACATGGGATGGGGAAAACCAGGTGAACCCATGATGTCAGGGACAAGTTCTCTGGGAGACAGAGCCAGCTAATGTTTAAATAAAATGTTTATTGAGCATGAAGTAGGGCATTTGATGGCAGGGCTGTTTGAGCACTTTCTAGGCACCAGAAAGCCCCATCTTTCTGACAGTTTGAAGTCTCCCAATCTGCCATTTGTGGAGCTGAAGGGTGATCCATCTGGAAGAAAAAGCAGGGTTTAGGCGGGGACTGGGGGTGCAGTCAGTCCAAAACCTGTTCACTCCAGGACCTCACAAACATGCACTGTCATGAAGCAGAGAACAGGATCAAACTGGTGGTGGGTGAAATTTTTTAAGCTGGCATTGCCATGACAGATCAGCAAACTAAGGGAGAAATACATTTGCTCACATGGGAAGGTTATGAATGATGGAAATACTCCACGCTTGGTCTTCTTTTTAAAACAACAACAATCAGCTTAAAACTGTATCTTGAAATAATTTATTTTTTTTCAGCGTGAAAGGTGAAGTGTTCATATATGCTGAGAATCTGTTTCATAGCTCCCATTTTTAGTCACTGAGCTTCTCTTTACTTTTTTTTATAATTTTCTTTCATAGCTGCTTTGCTTCTGATTCTCTTTACTAAGGCATAGATGAGTCTTCTATTTTTTTCCACTTCGTTTCATTCACTGAAATATATGACTGTTATGTTTTGGAGTACTTTTTAAGTCTTTCATCCATGGACTAGAATTATTGAATTCTGTTAATCTTATGAGGTTTAAAAAAAACCAAAAAAATGCAAAAAAGGCCATGACTTGGAAGTGAAGTTTACGCTCTAATACTTTTTCTCTCACGTGTAAAATTCTCTTTGCTAGAGATGGGCTTATCCTGTAATGAAGAGAGTAGACTGAAATGGAGATAAGAGAAAAGAACAGTTCCCTAATTAGTGTTCTAAGTACTTCTCTGGAGTAGATATTCTATGTGTTTTCTTTTTCAGGTGAATGAGCTATCTTTGTTTTCCAGGAGGCTTCGCATGATGGTTTGTAATGACTTGCCATATGCCCTATCGCCTTGCAGTCCTCGAAAAGGAAGTAAAACTGAGAATTACTGGTTCCCAGCCCTTGATTTAAACATCTCTATCTTCAGGTATGTTTCTGGGCTCTGTATTGGAGTTACACTGCTTACCTGTCAGTGCAGTTGGCTGCACTCCCATGACAGAGCTTTAATGGTAGAAACACGGGGGACGTTTACATACCAGCAGGATACTTGTGCATGGATCAGTGTGCTTGCATTTGCTACTCACAAAATAATTTTTCTTTTGACATCCCATGTGAGGGATTGATTTACAGAAACAACATAATTCTAATCAGCTGAGCAGTTTCTTCTAATGGTGCAGAAGCCAAAATTGTCACAATTTAATGTGGATCCATCCTGTAACACACTCTTACCTATCATGAGACCTATTGTGCAAAATAGGTATCTGGTGTAACTGTATACCAGCCTGCGCACAGCTGGTGTCACACTGAAGTCATCCATTATTTTCAGAAAGTTTTTCTCGTCTGGTCTCCCTAGCTTCTCAAAAATAGGTTTATATTAATAACTTTATGGTAGGCATTTTATGTTTAAATATGTTCCTACTATATTGGGATTTTAGTCCATCCAATAAACGTCCTCTGTGATAAACAATAGAACACAGCAGTCACTAAATTTAGAGGGGAGATTCTTAGTCTTAAGTTATTTGCCAAACCCTCATTCATTTTGGCAGTGTCAGCTGGCTTTTTAGTAAATGAATTGCTGAGTATGTCTAAAGAAGAGCCTGTCAAATGATTGGTATTTGAATTTGATAGCTTCATCATGAAAGATATTCCAGCACAAAAGAAGGAAGTCTTTCTTTTTTCTCAGTCTCCACAATTGAAACTGAAGCAGCTACAAATTACATCTTTCCTCTGGTGGGAGCCACTCATGTGGATAAGCGTTTGTTACGCTGCGGAGCTCTCTCTGCTACTGATGGTTTTCCATGCTCTCTTACTCAGACTTCCTGTGTTGCTGATTGTAATTCCTTATGGAAGTACAATGGCATAAGGAGTCATCTGTGCTGGTGTGGTGAGAAATCTAATGAATGGATCATGACAAAGTTTTATTTTTATAGGAACCAGAGAAGCTATGAAATTAGCAATTGATTGCCTCACTTTTCAATTAGTCTGAACACTTGGACAGAAATATCACTGCTCCGCTGCTCTGCCTTGCTAATGAGGGAAGACTTAGCTACTGGGAGAGATTCAAGCATGATGTCCTTCCTTTGTTATGTGCTAATTCTGTATTTAACCTGGGTTTTACCCTTCTATATGGGATGCATTGTTGCACCTAAAGCAACTGACAGAGCCACGCATGAAAGCACTGTTAAAAGCTACCTTGGGATGGTTTTTTATCAGCTGTTAGTGCCAGGTGGATATGGTGATCGTACTCACATAAAGGGATAATCAGTTTTGTAACACTGTCCCAGAGAAGTCTTCTGACACTCATTCCTACGTGCTGCTTACCTGTGCAGATTCTCTCTTTGCATAATTGGCCAAATATGGGAGACATAAAAGCTTTGCTTAGCATCTATTATCCCAACCTGCCTATAATCTCTTCATTTTCATTCTTCCCTATGTTTTAAGCATCCCTCAGAAACCCAGAAGTCTGCGTGCCTGTTGCTTGATTGCAGGAACACATCAGGTGCCCAGTGTTGGTCTGAGCTGCAGAGAGCAAAAAGAGAGGAAAGATGCAGACAACTGTCTGTATTCCTAATTAAGAAAACAGTTTGAAATGCAAAGAATATTTGTAATCTTGTAAGCTTACCTTGTTCGTTTCTCCTTTCTCCTTCCTTTGCTCTGATCCTACTGTTCAAAGGGTTTATTTCAGATACAAGGTGGCAGAAAAGATAAGTGGTTGTTAATTATTGGGTTGGTTTTCCATATGACCACAGTTGGGGCTATAGGTTGGTAGAGTGACTCTCCCGGGTGTTTAAGCAATACTGTCTTCTATTTATTTCTGGAATCCTTTTTTCATTTGTGCACTTCAAATATCTGGTAAATGGAGGAAAAAAAAAAAAAGGAAATTAGCACTTCTTAGCAAGTAAATTACTTGTGGCTTATTTTTTTTTGAAAGTGAAAGCATTTATACACAGACTTAAAACATTGTTCACTTCTTGATCAAATCTAAATGGCCATGTGTTTGCACGCTGTCCCTTCCTGCTTGACTGTCTTGCTTATTTAGACAATATGTCGATAGTTTATCTCACACTAGACTATTGCAATAGATATTAATTTCTTTGTGTAGAGGAAAAAGAGAATTTTTCACCTGCTAAGGCTTCTAGGCAGTAATTCTTGTGTAAGATAAACATCCTGTCTGCTTCTGTGGTTTGCAGTCCTTACCTACCACTCAATTAATTGAAGTCCTTCAATGTAAGGCAGAGAAACATTTCCATGATACCAATGGAAGGTGTCACCTCATAGACTTCTTTCTTCTACTGTAATGTGTAAGAGGGCTCACAGCATAGCACATCTGTTGTAAAGGTCACCACTATGTGAAAAACTAGTTTTTTCATTTCTCTTTCTACTCTTCCTCCCACCATGAGCTGCACAGTTCTTGCTTGGCACTTATCTTAATCTTGGTCATTTTTGTTCTCTGAGCTTACAAAAAACTGTTGCAGCTCAAGAAAGTGCATATTCTGAGTATCTAGTGAGTCAGATCAGCTTGGTTATGCTGCCAAGCCATGCAAGGTATGGAGCAGCAAGACACAGAAAGGAATGGCGGAGGAGGCAGCCCACCCATTTTAGCAGCATGCTGTTAGATCAAGCCAGCTGCAGTGTGAAACCTTACCTGCAAGAGACACTGTGCTGAAAGCCTGCTGAAGTCTGGAAATGGCACAACAAAACTGCCACTGGTCTTTTCAGTCTTCTAGTACGTAACTGGACTACTCATCTCCTTTTGCTCAACAGCTGTTCTGAATAAGTTAAAATTATCTCCCATTTTCTTTCCTGGGAATAGGTCCCTCTGAAAAAAAATTCTGAGCAGACAGAAGATTGATAGTAGAATGTACAAACAGGAGCCAATGGACCTCAGAAAGAATAAAGATGGGACTAACATGTCTTCTAATCCCTAGGAGTGGGTTCTTCTCTCTATTACATTTCATCTACCTTGACTAAATTAGGGCAGCTACTGTTTTTAGCATCAAAGATTTTAAGTGCACATGGAAAAGTACTGTTTATTTTTGTAAGAAGCACATGAGGATTGTATCTACATACAAAGCAACAACCCCAGTTCACCCTACTGAAGCTCAAGTGTGCCACTTCACCCTCCTTTCCTGGCACTATGAGAGCGCTGGAGAAATTGTATTCCTTGTCAGCTAAGTTGCCTGCTGTGACTACAAACAGCCTCAGGCTGGGCATGAAAGTATGCTGACATTGGGAGTGGGACCTCACTGTTAACACACATGGGTAAGCTCTGATTAATTACTTCTGGCAAAATATTATACAAGAAAGTTTTTGCTTTGCGCTTCATGCACTGTCCAGCATGGGTGTTGTTTCTCTACCTGACAAGTGATGCTAGGAGGATGAGTTCATCAGTGTTTGTGTAGTACTCTTAATACAGTTGCTGCATCCTGAACTGACTCACTCCTGAGGGTGAGCCACTAAAGGGATGCATATGGGCACAACCATCTTTCCATATAGCAGTAACTCCTCCAAACAGTGGCTGGATGAAGTGGTATGTTATTTGAAAGTGTTTGTACTGTCTCTGCCACACTGCTGATATCCTTGCCATTTCTGTGAATAAACAGACTTCAGAATATTTCTGTATCAAAACAGAACATGCTCATTTAACAGTTAAAAATAAACTGCATTTTACAGTCTTGTACAGCACAAGTCATCTATCGGCCTGATGCCTTTGGTAAATACTGTTTTAGGTTCATTTTAACTACCAGCACTTCTCCTCTGGTAAATTCTCAGCAGACAGGGATTAGGATGTGGTACTTAGCTGAAGCTGTCCTGCTGACAGATTGCAGTGACCTTGCTGTGACTTCTGTTCTGATCTCACTGGCACTGCTGGAATTTGACACACTAGAACATGAGATACTGGCTCCATTATGCTACTAATTGGTATCCAGAGCATTGTGTTCCTGACTCCTTCACCATCTGATGTAGGTGGCAGATAGTTCTAATTTATCTTTGCCATGTGATTTAGAAGGCTCAAGTCTCTACTGCCAACCAGTTGATGCCTTTATCCTTGCATGTGGCTGTCTTTATCATATGCAGGTATATAGGTTGACACAGGATTTTGTTGTAAGCACGACTGGTCATCTTATCTTCTTATTTCTGGGTGCTCTTCTGTAATGGAAGGAAATTTTTTGATCACTCAACATGGATAAGTGACTCTAAATAATTTTCATATGCAGCATTGGAGGTAAATCTTCAAATACTTTATTTTTCAAACATGCAGTTATATCTTTTATTTCTGTAAGGATATGTAATCTTTGGAATGCACAGATTGGCTTTAATTTTTGTCTAGTGGTAGTCTGAAAAGTAACAGTAAGAAAATTCATGTTCTTAACCAAAGTATTTCAGAGTTTGCTCTGTATGACAGTATTTGTCTCTATAGTGATTTATTTTGGTCCAATAATCACAAAGCTAGACAAACAGATGAACAGCATGAACCAGAGTACAGCTGCATGTGGGATGATGTCTGTAGCATTTTTCCAAAGACAAAAACAGAAGTCAATACTTTTCCAAAGTCCAGTTTTGTCAGTCCTACATGTTGAAATTTCATGGTGTTAATTTAATCATTAGGAAAGCTTATTACTCTGAACAATCTGACTTGCAAATGCCTTGATATCAAGAAGGAACGAATCTGACCCGAAGGGAGCACAGAGAGTAGCACTAAGCAGCAAATTTCCTAATACAATTAACAGAAAAATAACTTGTGGATTTATTACTGCAGCTTTGCCAGCTGAAAGTAATATAGTCATTTATTTCTGGCAGTGATTATACACTGATATCTACATCCACGGGGGGACTTCAGCACTATCAGAGTGGTGCTTACCTGGTAGAGTCCTGGCTGCCAGAGTGGAATTTACAGCCTGTTGCTTGGCCCCAGGCTCTGGCGTA